TCTGCCTCTCCATTTGTCTGGTGAGCGCGTGCGCCCTATAGCAAAAAAATAACCTCTCCCAAAAAAAAAAAAAAAAAAAAAAAAGAAAAGTATCAACATATATAATAAATGGAGTAACTCTTATGTACATGGCACAGTGGCAACAAAATGGAAGGAAAACAGGAACTGTTTTGTCTTTTTTTTTTTTTTTAACTTTAGAGAGGTTGTTTTCTGTAGGGCATGTGCACTTGCCAGAGACACAGAGAAAGTGAGAAATCCCCCCCCCCCCGGGGGGGGATATGGCTATGCCATAATCCCTTCTCCTCCATTCTGCTCTCAAGATTTGGGGCACACCCACATATGTGTCCACTGCAAACTGCAAGCCCCCAGGTCTCGGACTCAAACTATGACTGACCATGTGGAACTCCAGTGCCTTAACCACCACGCCATCCACTGGTCCTAGAATTCTGCTTCTAAGAGCAAGTTTTCACATCTTTTAACAAAAGATGATGAAGGTAGAACATAAGGAATGATCGTCAAAACATTATCAAAATCAGCCTTGATTCTGGAATTAAGGGCTTTTGTTTGTTTGTTTGTTTGTTTGTTTGTTTTGTTTTGTTTGCCAAAGGTGTGGATATCTCACCCAGAAAGAGCAAGAGAGAGAAATGAAAAGTAAAAAAACACCACTCCACTGAGAATGATTATGCCACAATCCCTTCTCTATTTTCCCCCTCCTTTTGGGACTTTGGACATGCATGTACACATGCAGACATGTTTCTCAAGCCACAGGTTCTGGGACGTCAGTTATGCTGTAGGCCATACGGGATCCAGCTTCCTTAACCACTATGCCTCGGGTTGGCCTTCGAATTGAGGTTTAAAGTAGAATATTCTTACAAAGAAAAAAGACACTTCAACTTATATATAATTAGATACTCTATTTTAGATATAAATATATGGCAGTAAGATAAAAATAGTAGACAAGTACTTCAGTATGTCAGAAGCTCCACGACAGTCAGCAGAAGCCATAGTAAAAGGTGACTGGGGGACAAGCAGATGGCACAACTGTTATGCACTGAACTCCCACGTAGTTGACTAGGTTTGAGTCCCGGACCTAGCAGCTTAAAACTCATGCCAGGCACATACGCATGCGTGCCCAGAACACCAAGAGGAGAATGGAGGAGAAGGAAGACTGCATCATGGCTACTCCCCGTGGGGGATGATTTCTTACTTTCTGTCTCACTGTCTCTCTCCGGCTCTCTGGTGAGCCCCACATCCCCTATAGCAAAAAAGGGTGATTGGATATTATTAAAGAAATAGCACTCAAGATTTCAGTTTTGGGAAGATAGCTCTTTGAGTGAAATATAGTGGAATGGATATGTGGTAGGGCTGATGACAGCTGTAGAAAAATTAGTCAGGGGGTGCTCACTTCAGCAGCACATATACTAAAATAGGAATGATACAGAGAAGATTAGCATGGTCCCTGGGCAAGGATGACATGCAAATTCGTGAAGCGTTCCATATTTTTATTATTCACTATTGCAAAGACATGGAACCAACCCAAATGTCCACAAACAAATGAATGGATGGAAAAAGTGTGGCACATATACTCTACGGAATACTACTCAGCCATAAAAAACAACAAGACCCTGGCATTTAATAGAAAGTGGTCGGATATGGAGGATCTATTGCTGAGTGAAGTAAGTCAAGATATGAAAGAAAGATACTGTATGTAAGTATGTATCCACTTAATACATACTGACTATCCATACTTTATGGTAGAGATCGAAATATTGGAGGACATAAAAGCAGTGAAAATAGTTAACAATGATGAGACAGTGTGGAATGGGGAGGAGAAGAGAAGAGGATAGAGAAAGATAGCAAAAGAACAAATAGAGAGGCATGACATTAGTAGGACACAGATATGGTTTATTGCCTGTTGATGGTAACATGTATAGTATTCTCAACTGGATTGGTCTGAGAAGTATTTCATGTTGGGTAAAGTCTTTTTATAAGCAAAATGATAAATGGTGACTGACTATTTTAAAAAATAATTGGAATAATAATCGGGAAAAAAATGAAAAGCTATTGGATGATGAAATGGGGATTTTAATATCTCTGTATTGACTGGTATGTGTGGTATTCCTTCTGGAAAAAGAAATGTAATACACTGTAAAGTTATATGTGATTCAATATAATATAAACAAGATTATTATGATAAATAGATAAATAAATAACTTTTTAAAAAAAGAAAAGTCAGGGGGTAAGACCCTGAAGAAAAGTGAGACCCCTGAAAAAGAAGGTCTCACTTGTTAAGACAATGTAACAACATACAGACATGAACCAACACTCATGTGTCTACAGTGGTTGGTAAGCATTTTCAACAAAGGATCTTATCGCTTTGCTAGATGCAAGGTCTCTGCTGTCTCTTTCAACTAGATAACTACACCTTCATGCTGTCAAAGCAGCCTGAGGAAATATGAAAATGAGTAAGTGTAACTATCTTCAAAAACACCTTATTTTGGGGACTAGCAGATGGCATAATGGTTACGTTGCTGGACTCCCATGTAGTCGACCACAGTTTGAGTCTTGGACTTGGTGGCTTAACTCAATGCCAGGCATGTGTGAGTGCTTGCCCAAGATTCCGAGAGGAGAATGGAGGAGAGGAGACTGCAGCAGGGCCATCCCCCCTGGGGAGTGATTTCTCACTTTCTGTCTTTATGGCTCTCTCTGTCTTTCCAGCAAGTGTACGAATCCTATAGCAAAAACTTCTCTTAAAAAACAACTACAAAAAAAAAATCACTTTATTTTCAAAACAAGTGGCAGCCACAAACCTGATCAAGGGAAACGTAGTCACTAAT